AACATTTAACTTTAATCAGAAATCGTGTTCATCTGTTTGTTATTACTCAAAATATCGAGTCTAGTCGATTATAAAATAATATTTGTATAATAATCCCTATTGAGTTCAGCGTTTATAGCATTAATTTAATTCCATTAATTCGCTGAATAAAAATTCAAATTTCAATTAAAAAAAAAATTGTATTACTAATTATAATTTACATGTATGAATTTATAATTTCCTGGAATATTTAAATAGGAACTATAAGAAAAATTTCTCTCTTTTTGATTTGAACATTTTGCAAAAATTTTTGCAAAATCTATTAATGTAAATTTATTAATTAATGTTTCACAGTTCTAAATACAAAGTCTTTAATTAATATAATATATAGTAGGATATTATTAATGTAGAAATGGAAACGTCTTTTTAAAAACCCTTTAATTAACATCTTTTTAACATTATTATGACTTTTAAATTAAATTAGTTTCGTTATAAGCTATCATACATTAGATATTATAATATATGTACATCATAATTTGAATTTTTATTAATTGAAATTAAACTATAATCATCGTCTGCAAGATTAACAATCAACACACAATTTAATATTTCAATACAAATTGTGTAAAAAATACGAAAATTTACGTTTCTGATTGATTTTTTACTGCACCATCTTGTACATACATCAATTATTTTATAACATTTGTTTAGCAGATGTTATTTTGCATTTTATTTCTTCCCGAATTTTGTATGTGGAAATAAAATTGTTCTTTCTTCTTCGAATTTTTTTTTTATAAAAGTTGTAGTAATTCAATAATTTTTCGAATGCGTTTTTAAAACAAAAATTATTAATTTTATGATTGCTTTTTCGAATTCATTTATAAAACATAAACTCATTTTTCATATAATTTTTACTTGTACGTAAAAGGTTATTTCTCGATTACTATATTGATTATTAAATTATAACATTTATCCAAAAATTAATTTTTCCAATTGTAGCTTGTTTTCAATATAAAAATAAAGTAATTGAGAAACTGTTCTAATTTATAGTATTTCAAATATAAAGGGGAGGATTCCAAAATAAATATCAGGCGGCAATATATACCATTAATTTTTGGGGGATTAAAAATATGTGACGCCCAGACTGGGTGTTAAGTTCGATAAAATCCATCTATCTATGAAACCTTTTGGATTTAGCACCTCAATTAGGAACAAAATTTTTACCTATTGCCGATTACTAATCAATCGTCGCTTACCTTTCTATATCACCTAGCTTATAAAGTAAAATGAATTAAACTTAATTCATAAATACTTAATGAAATTTTGAAAACTCGGTTGATTTTTAAGTTAGTTAATTTAAATTTCTGTTAATAAATTAAATTTGTATTTCGACTATTTATTCGAACTGTTGAAAAATAAGGGATATCAAGCTTTTATTCGGAAATAATACCAAATTCCAAATTAAATTTATAAAACAAAATCGAAAGATTTATTTTTACGAGTATGTGTATAAGATTTTAATATTTTAGAACTCGAGAGCTATCCGAAAGTTGTCCAGTCAAACATTTTTCATATATACGTAGATATTATATGAATTCATTATGCTTTCCAAATTTTTATTGCATTTTTGATCTATTTAGGTTTTTGTTTAATAATTTTTTTTTAAATTTCAAAATATTTTATTTGGTGAAAGAAAAATAATTGCAGGTGAACTATATTAAATATTTTCAATTTTAATCGGGTAGAGCCTATTAATAGAACTATTTTTACGGTTATAGAAGTGTACTTATTAAGAAATTTTGTTTATAAAATTTTAGGGCAAAATTTTATTGCACAATATAATGTATCGCATAATTTTTTTTTAATATAAATAAATAAAATTTTGTTTAAAAAATAATTGCATAATTTTAATATTCATAAACAATTATTCAAGGTAGTTTAACTAGATAGGAAATATTTATATACATACATTAATAAATCAAAATTTATTTATTACTACTTATACAAAAAGTAAATTTGTTTACGATAATTTACAGAATGTAAAAAATCCATGTAGTCGCAGTAAAATCAATGTTGTTTTTGTTTCAAAATATTTTCATTGCAGTTTACAAAATTTTAACAATCATTCACTAATTTAAATACAACATAATGGGAATAAAATATTAATGACCTTACAACACCATACAAAACTATCACAGAAAATTATTTTTAATAAATAATTAAAATACAAACTAATAAATTTATATTAAAATTATTAAGAAACAACAAGTACGGGCCTAACATATATGACATAATCATCATAGTAATTAAGGCGAACAAGTACCTTCAGCTAAATACTTATAAATTAACTTCCTTTCTAAAAAAAAACAAGAAAACAAAAGAAAAAAACAAATATTTGTTTAAAAGAAATTTTTTTAGTATATACAAACACCATATACCCACGTATAATTCTATATTATACACATAATGTATACAACTATCCAGAAACTCATAAATCAAAGTTACACTAGCTAGTTAGCATCACTCTCTCTTATCACCCACAGCATATGTATTTATGTATATAATATTCAATATATACACACCAAATACATATGTACACTTAGCATACGTAATATACGTTTGGATGTGGATACCCACATTGTCTATCTTTTAATAAAATTTCAAATTTACATAGTTAAATATTTGTCTTGAATTCATTAAAATTCTGTAACATTTTTATTATTTTTAAAAATTTATTATTTACTGAGATTATTTTACTACTAAACAAATTTTGATTATATTAAAGCTAGTCCAGAATTACGTTCATACCTTATACACATACCATTCAATTATATATAACTATTTCAACCCTTTACACATATTATTTTGTAATTAAATATTTTAAGAAAAATTATGGAACACGGAAAAGAGATAACAATATTTAAAGAAACCAAACTAAAAGCGCACATTGTATTGTAATTGTAAGAGAGAATTTGGCTAAGATCAATATTGTTACCAGATCTGTGGTGTATAATTGAAAATTTGCTTTATAAAGAAAACAGGTAAAATTTAAAAGTTTAGTATTAATACGTTCAAACAATGTTTTAAGTTTTTTTAAAACAGTTGACAGATTTGAACTAAGTGGGATTATCTTTACATCAAAAAAAACTACAGGTAACAGAAACACTTGTTTTATTGGAAAAACTATAAGAGACTGAGGTAAATATTATGTAGAGCAATTTTCCAATTTTCCTGCGTAGTACATTATCAACCACGTAGAATCTGTACCTCCAAAAATGTAAACTTGGTTCTTAGAAAAATTTAATTTTCTATAATCCGATTTTATTTTAAAATTTTTCATTTGATTTCCTTAGAAAAATTCAAATTCTCATAAAAAAAAATTCGTCTAATAATTGTTTTTTAGATATACCGAAAAATGTAAAATCGGCCACAAAATATTTATATACCACAATTAAAATATTATATATTGAAGGAAAATGCGTTGGTGCCTCAAAAACAGTCAAAAGCGCAAAATTGACCCGTAATAAATATTAAGATAGCTTAAATTTGATTTGCCTCAAATTTTGACCAATTTTGTTCGCACAGATACAGGAGTGCATAGATAGACAAACAGACACCTTTTTGAAAATAATTTATTATCATTTTCAATCTGTGCATTTTGTCAACAACTCTGCATGCGGAATTTGGTTTCATTACATGTCTTTCCTTATTAAATGCAATACGATCTGTCAATCGAGACAAAATATAACTATCACTTTCTAGAAAGTTTGTATTCTTATAAAAATTTGCAAAGATTCTCATTTTAACTAGTTTTCACTCAAAACTTAAACTGAAACTGAACCCCAGATTCTATTAATTATAAGAATAAAAATTAATTATAAAAAAATTTAGGACACATTAATTAGATGTAAAATAAGTGTTTGATTATTACTCTATTTTGAATGGGTGTGAACATATTCTCTTATATGTATTTGTATGAAGCAAAAATTAAGGACCGATTTTCTAACACTAAGGTATCATATATGAATATACCGAGATTTTAATTATTTTTTGCCAATAATAACCATGTTACAGAAATTTTCATATATCTGGTATTACTTTAAAATGCCCCCATAATTGTTCCAATTTCACCACATTTATGTACAAACATATGTATGTATTTATATTACAAATTTATCTAGATAATTTTCACATAATATTTTAGAGATAACTTTTAACATATCTTAATGTTACACTTAATATTCCCGGAAATTATTTAATAATAGAATTTTATTATGTGAACGTCGGAGAAAAAGAACTCCAAACCGACCACCAAAATTTTATTTCATTTCTTTTTCTTTTTATTCTTATTCCAATTTTTAAATTTTTCCCTATGGAAAGTATCTATATTTTTTAAAAACAATATTTTTTCCGTAATGGAATATCAAAAGTACATCAAGTACCCATCTTTCTTATTTTCCTTGTTTTTGTTTTTTTTTGTAAATTTTTCCTCTCTTGATCATCCATTTGAAATAAAAACAAATTCTCTATATTAACATACGTATAAATGTATACTTTCAAATAAATTAATTTATGCGTATGTAAAATTTGTGTATTTTTAAATTTCATAAGCATTTAAAGCGAAAAATCTTTAAAAAACAATTAAAAAACAAGACAACATTAGAAACTAATATTGTTTACATATTATAGTAAATGTAACAAAATGGGTAAAAAAATAACACTAACACTATAAAACTGTTAAAAAACAATTTTTAAGGAAATACCATCGTGTAAAGCAATCGCATAAATGATCACAATTCAGCTAGTCAGTGCTTTTCCATAATTTAATGAAAAAGTGCTTTCAAAAAAAACAAAAAAATCAAAATAAAATTATAATAAACAAAAATAAGTAATTTTTTGTATCTTGCTCTAAGAGATTATGTGTGTATTTGTATGTGTTTGTGTGTGGGTAATAAAAAAAATTAACTGAAAAACTTGAAATACGCGCAATTTTTTTATTTGAGTTATTTTTAAGCTTTGAAACCGTTAACATGTTGATAATAACGACAAGAGAATATTACGGATAACACGCGCAAAAAAAAAAGTATTGTCTTTACATTTTTTAAACTCGCACTTTAGAGAATTCTTTTTGCTTTTCTAAGGACCGGACCGCAATATGATTTCTTTTTGAATATATTCGAAAATTTTAAAGCTAAATTTTGTTTTTGTAATAATTTGTAAACTTTAAATAATTTAAGTGTACATGTGTACCTATATTAAGTACATTAAGATCGCTTGCGGCAGCTATTCATAATTTGAATCACAAGAGACGTATGAATTAAAAAATAATACAAAAAAAAGAAGTGAAATCAATAAAATAAATATAAAAAAATAGTTAGAATTTTTCTTTCGGTTTTATTGAACTTTTAATATTTTTGCTTTTTTTTGTAATAATATTTTTATGATGGTACTATTTTTTCTATATCGGCAAACTATTCACATACAAAAAAAATACGCATAAATGCGGATAGAATAAATTAACATTTAAACGCATTTTGGCTAAAATCAAAATATTGAAATTATTTTGTGAATATTTTTATGATTAATCGCAGCCATTACTTACATTGTATATAGAAATATTAATATAAAATTTGCAAAACGAAATTTAAAAAAAATACACAAATTTATTTGCGCTGATATTATTAATTAAATAACGGTGCCTCTGTGATTCTATAATACATTTTATTATTGCATACCTACGTGAGCATATGAGTATGTGTTTATAAATTATATAAGTGAAATCCATTTAAGGAATATTTAAGGAAATAAATAATATTGTGAGCTATAAAGTGCTTGAAATAAATTTTTTTTTTTTTAAATATAAGTAGTACCGATTCAAAGTTACAAAATTGTTGTGTATAACAGAAATTGTTATATAACACTTAATTATAATATTAGCAATTTAAAATGAAATATTTTAAAATTACGAATCTAGTGTCTTAGAAAAGTATAAAATTCATTTTATTGGTAATGTTTCATATTTCAAACATTCGAATTATACGAAATAACTTGTGCAAAATACATGTTTGTAGAATATCCCTAATATATTCAAATACTTAAAAATACAATAAAAATAACCCGTATATTCTTAAAACGCATCATTTAAACAGATGAAATGTTACTCAAAATTAAACTTTACGATTTTATTCTGAAAACTTTGTAATGACATCGCCACCTCTTCGAAGAATTGCTTGTAAGGGATTATGAGTGTATCTATGAACAATAAATCATAACTATCTCAATATTAAAAAATTTAAATTTTGATTTTTTCTAAATATTGCATAATTATTACCTATATAACAAATTTATTATAATTTTTGGTTGATTTTAATATTTTACTGAATAATTAATTCATATATGGGGACGTTAATTAAAATAAATTGGTTTAAATACATTTTTTTTTTTATATTTGGTTTATAATTAAGGTTTTTTGCTTTTATTATTTGGAATAAATGAATTTGTAATTTTTGTTAATGTTTTGTTTTTTTTTGTCTTATTTTTATTTGAGTACATTGCGTATTCCTAAAAATAAAATTAAAATTTGCATGAACTTAATATTAATATACAAAACATTTATGATGATATTTTCATAGAAAATAAAAGGTTCAATAAACTAAATTTTATAGGTATATACATAAGTATAAATGAATAAAATATGAATTTGCGTATTATTATATAAATTATACCTACTCCTTATATATACACATAGATAGAAATGGTGTCTTAATTTATTAATTGGTGGAATATATCAATTAGCATAACTTTTAAAGAAGATAATTGTCATGATGAATAAGAGTTTTTTTTTTTTCTTAAATTTTTTGAAATAGATAGATAGTGTAATTAAAATTAATTAAATTCACCTAATTTCATGATTAGTATGGAGAAATATTTTGCATTTTTTATTAATTAAAGTTACAGTACAATTATAGAATAATAGAAAATTTGGCAATTATTAATAAATTTGTCAATTTAAAATTCATTTAAAATTTGCAAAAATTTTGCATATTTGTTGAATAATTTTTCTAATTAATCTAATTTCCGTAATTGGACTTATATTCAACATTTTTGTCATCACAATACGGATTATGGTAGAAATAAGATGATGACTAGATCCTTGCACGGTAGTTCGTTCTAATTCTGCTTCTTTTGATTTTGGTACTTAAAATGGTGATTGCTTTTGCTTTTTCGTGCAATATTAGTTTGCATGATAGTTGATGCAAACTTGGCCTAAGCAATGCATCTATTATAAAATAATCTAATATTAAATTTTTGAAAATTATTTCGATTACCGATTGAAATAAAATTTTCTTGATAATAGAATAAATTTGAATTATAATCATATAGATGTGGAGAGGGGGGTGGGGGGGAAAGGCGGGCGGCGTTCAATTTTAAAATCAAGTATGTACTTAAATTTCAAAAATCTAAAGAATTCTAAAGTTAACTTTTAATGTAAACATTTTTATAAGGGTAATAACCCCCGGGCATTAAAATATAATTTTAAAATTTCACATTTCAAGTGCTCCCAAAAGTTATTATGTGTTCATTAAAACAATTATAAATTTTATATTGAGTAAACTTGCATAACAATCTTGAGACCGGACCAATCAATTATTTTTAAATCTAAAAATAAAACAAATAATATTTTTTTCCTGTTTTTTTAAGTAATTTCTTCTTACAGCATTACCACACACCTTGTTAATATATAAACACCAAATTACTACCAATTTTCTGTTATCAATGTACAAACAAGACAATTAAGATAATAATAATATTTCCATAAATGTATAAAATGCCAACTACTTCATAATCAAATTACAAATCAAATGCCAAAAAGTTGACTGAATCACTTCTGAATCATTTCAAAAAGTATTTCATAACTGTGTATACATTATAATAAACATAATAATTAAAATAAAAAAAAAATTTCAGATTTTAATTTAAAATTTACGTATTGCATCGGAAATTTTGAATGAATTTTTAATATGCCGAGGATGGTATGTATAGCATAACGAGAAAGAAAAACACTCTTATCAAAAACAAATCATAAATTTTCTATATATTGACAAAGTGCAAATGGAAAATTGACATAAAAATATAAAAAAAAGGAAATTATTGCACTTCATATGTAGAGTTGTTCATGTCAATAATGAGCTCAAAATATTAAAAAAGTAATTTGACTGGGAAATTTTAAAATTCAAGGTATAGCTATAGTGTTGAAAAATACAAAATTATCAACACTATAATAATCAAGTTGAAGTGCCCAATAAGATAATTATGGGATCGTATGGTACATTTAGGTACATATGAATGCATTTATAATTTAAATCACCAAAAATGCATATATAATTCATTAATTTTTTACAAATATAAGTATCATGAGAGTATTTGAGTAATGTTTTGAGTTATTTGCGTTGACTTCCTCAATTTTTAATTCCATTTGATTGTATATTGTTAATTTGTTATACACTCAATAATTTGTGTGATTTTTTTTACAAATTCTATTATTTTACTACACTTAAATTAATTTAATATAATAAGTGTCTTAGCATAGCCATGAAAAAAAAATCACACAAATTATTGAGTGTATAACAAATTAACAATATACAATCAAATGGAATTAAAAATTGAGGAAGTCAACGCAAATAACTCAAAACATTACTCAAATACTCTCATGATACTCGTTGCCAATGCTATGATACGAACATAACATTATAAGGTAAAATATTCAAATATTATTTCTAAATTTTTAAATTTTTTATAAGTTCGTGTAAAGTAAGGTAGTGTAACACGCAAAAATGGCCTATGAGTACATCCTCCAAAGAGACCGTGTCTAAGTTAAGGGTTTAATCAATAAAATTGTCATGATATTAATTCAAATGTAATCAAATAATATGCGATGAATGTCATTATTATTCATTAAATAAGAATATAACATTAGTATGTATATTATGCTATGTATACGGGTTTGAAACTTATTATAATTTTCAAAAAGCACTGGCAGTTACCCGAACTCATTCTCCCAATTAGTCCAATTGCAATAGGATTCGTCCTTGGCACAATAGAAACAACTTGTGAAAGTTTGGTGTCGATTGCACTATTCGTTTTTGAGTTATCGTGCGATCGGATCGACGAGCGGACGGACAGACGGACATATCTAAATCAACGCAGAATTTTACGCTGAGCAAGAATATATATATATGTCCATGCAGGTGACTCCTTCAGGTAGTTGCAAACTCCATACCAAATGTTAATATATCTTTCCCAAAGTGCAGGGTATAAAAAGGATGTTATGATCGGTAATTTTAATTACTTATAATAGAACAGATTGCAAAGCAGAATAAAAAAAAAATATTTTTCGCAAACAAAATTGCAAAAAAATTTTTAAAAATTTCACCATAAATGCACAGATAGTGAAGAATAAAATTTCTGTTTTTTTTTTTTTTCTTCAAGTTTAATTGATTTGTACAATGAGTTTTACATTTTTATAAAATTAAGAAAGATGTAAAATATGGGTCAAAATATAACAGCTATCAAAACTCAAATGTATAATGTATAAAAAATATGTAAAATGAAATTTCAAAATTAATATTAATATTTTTTTTATTATATGAAGAACTCCAATTAATTTGGATGCATTTCTATGTAAAAACAAATGATTTTCCATAATAGATACGTTTGAAATGCTCTTAACTAATAAAATGTCTATTCTTTTTTCACAAAATCATTTGAATTTTTTGAGAAACTGGTTATTATTAAATATAGTTCTGTGGTTTGACCGTGTTACATAAGATTTTAATAGAAATTCTTTTAAATATAATATTGCAGCAAACACTTGCCTACCATTTCTTGTTCCACAATATGTATCCGGGGTTAACTATAATAAAAATTGCGAATAAGCTCTTCTAATTTCGTTTAATAAATAAAAACAATAAGTCCTTAAATTTTTGTATAGTTTATCATACTATAATCAATCTTTCCTTATAATTTTACAATAATTTTCTATATTTTCTGTCTAATTCATTTTCCATATACTTTAAATAATTCAATAAAATTTAAGCAATTCCAAATATAAAAGATCAAATATAGCTATATAGTTATATTCAAAAATATTAAAATTACAAGCATTTAATTTGCCTATATAAGACAATTCATTGATCTTATTAAAAGACATTAACCATATTACGAGTATTTATTCAATATTATTTAAAATCTAAAAATTTCGTTTAACCGCCTGAAACATAAGAAACTGATACACAATAATATGTATGTATGTACTTAAATAATTTATACATAGTAATTATAAAACATGAAACTTATTTCAAATTCAATTACACTACGAATACCTACATAATATGTAAGTATATTAACACTGATTCTTAATTTTAATTATTAAAATAAGTGGAATGAATTGATTTGAAATGCAAAATTTTAATTTTAAATGACAATATACAAAACCACAAACTAAATTTTAATAAAAATTTTCAACTCTATTGAATTAAATTGAGATTTTCTTAAATGGTATATATAGCTCATACCGTATCATTTCACATACTGTGTATTAATAAAGTTGGGTCAAACCAATGGTTTGTATTGTAGTACTTTTCCCTTCAACATGTGAAAGTACTGCTAATACAGTCTATGTATGTCCACCACACTATTAAAATTATTTTTATTCGTAAGCGAAACTATTTCTAGGATTGCATATATTTAGG